TCTCACTACCACTCTGAACCGCTTGGCAACACCTGGCACCAGTTAGAGCCACTCACTACCACTCGGCAGCACTCCCAACCGCTCGTCAAAGCTCCGCGCCGCTCGTGGGCGCTCAGCACCACCAACGACCGCACAGGTCGGCCCAGCACCGGTCACTATCACTGTGAACCTCTCGGCAGCAGCCCCAACTACCCAGAGCCACTCATAACCGCTCTTCACCGCTCGTCACCACTCACGGGCGCTCAGCACCACCAACGACAGCACTGGATGGCTGAGCACCGCTCACTACCACGGCACCACTCGCTACCGCTCACAAGCACTCGTAACCACTCGTCATCGGTGTCACCACTGACAGGCGCTCAGCACCACCAACGACTGCACTGGATAGCTCAGCACCGCTCACTTCCACTCTGAAACTCTCAGCAGCACTCGGCACCGCTCAGAGCTACACGTAACCGCTCTTCACCGCTCGCCACCACTCACAGGCGCTCAGCACCACCAGCGACTGCACAGGACGGCTCAGCACCGCTCACTACCACTATGAAACTCTCCGCAGCACTCGGCACCGCTCAGAGCCTCTCATAACCGCTCGTCACTGCTCCCCACCACTCACAGGCGCTCAACACCACCAACGACCGCACAGGACGGCTCAGCACCGCTCACTACCACTATGAAACTCTCCGCAGCACTCGGCACCGCTCAGAGCCACTCATAACCGCTCGCCACCACTCGTCACCACTCACGGATGCTCAGCACCACCAACAACCGCACAGGAAGGCTCGGCACCGCTCACTACCACTCTGAACCTCTCGGCAGCGCTCGGCACCGCTCACAGCCACTCATAACCGCTCGTCACCGCTCGTCACCACTCACGGGCACTTAGCACCACCAACGACCACACAGAACGGCTCAGCACCACCACTGACCTCACACAACGGCACAACACCGCTCTGAACCGCTCCCCAGCACCTCCGAACCACTGAGAGCCGCTCATCACCACTCAGCACCGCTCTTCACAACTCATCACCGCTCGTCACCGCGCGTCACCACTCACGGATGCTCAGCGCCACCAATGACCGAACACAACAGCTCAGCACCTCTCACTGCTGCTCTGAACCGCTCTGCAGCACTCGGCACCGCTCAGAGCCGCTCATCACCACTCGGCACCTCTCAGAGCCGATCATCACCACTCGTCACCACTCGTCACCACTCACGGGCGCTCAGCACCACCAATGACCGCACACAACAGCCCAACACCACTCACTGCCACTCTGATTCGCTCATAGCCACTCACAGCCACTCGTCACCGCTCCCAACCACTCATCACCGCTCATCACCGCTCGTCACCGCTCACGGGCGCTCAGCACCACCAACGATTGCAGACAACAGCATAGCACCGCTCACTACCACTCTGAACCGCTTGGCAACACATGGCACCGCTCAAAGCCACTCGTTACCACTCGGCATCGCTCCAAACCACTCTTCACCACTCCTCACAGCTCATCACTACTGATGGGCGCTCAGCACCACCAACAACCGCAGATAACCGCTCAACACCGCTCTCTACCACTCTGAACCTCTCGACAGCACTCGGCTCCGCTCACAGCCACTCATAACCGCTCGTCACAGCTCGTCACCACTCACAGGCGTTCAGCACCACCAAAGACCGCACAGAACGGCTCAGCACCACTCACTCCCACTCTGAACCTCTCGGATTACTCTGAATCGCCCAGAACCACTCGTAACCGCTAATCAGCACTCGTCACCACTCAAGGGCGCCCAGCACCACCAATGACCGCACTGGACGGCTCAGCACCACTCACTACCATTCTGAAACTCTCGGCAGCACTCAGCACCGCTCAGGGCCACTCATAACCGCTCGCCACTACTCACGGGCGCTCAACACCACCAACGACCGCACTAAACGGCTCAGCACCGGTCAATACCGCTCTCAACCTCTCAGCAGCACTCGGCACTGCTCAGAGCCAGACATAACCGCTCTTCACCGCTCGCCACCACTCACGGGCGCTCAGCACCACCAACGACCGCACGGGACGACTCAGCACCGCTCACTACCACTCCGAACCTCTCGGCAGCGCTCGGAACCGCTCAGAGCCATCCATAACCGCTCGTCACCGCTCGTCACTCCTCACGGGCGCTCAGCATCACCAACGACCGCACTGGACGACTCAGCACCGTTTACTACCACTCTAAACCTCTCGGCAGCGCTCGGCACCGCTCACAGCCACTCATAACCGCTCGTCACCATTCACGGGCGCTCAGCACCACCAACGACCGCACAGAACGACTCAGCACCGCTCACTACCACTCTGAACCTCTCGGCATTACTCCGAACCGCCCAGAGCCACTCATAACCGCTCGTCACCACTCACGGGCGCTCAGCACCACCAACGATCGCACTGGACGGCTCAGCACCGCTCACTACCACTCTGAACCTCTTGGCAGCACTTGCACCGCTCATAGCCACTCATAACCGCTCGTCACCACTCACGGACGCTCAGCACCACCAACGACCGCACTGAACGGCTCAGCACCACTCACTACCACTCTGAACCTCTCGGCATTACTATGAACTGCAGAGAGCCACTCGTAACAGCTTGTCACCGCTCGTCACCACTCACAGGCGCTCAGCACCACCAACGACCGCACTGGACGGCCCAGCACCGCCCATTTCCACTCTAAAACTTTTGGCAGCACTCGGCATTGACCAGAGCCACTAATAACGGCTCGTTACCGTTCGCCACCACTCACCGGCGCTCATCACCACCAACGACTGCGCTGGACGGCTCAGCACCGCTCACTACCACTTTCAACCTCTTGGCAGCACTCGGCACCGCTCAGGGCCACTATTAACTGCTCGTCACCACTCATGGGCGCTCAGCACCACCAACGACCGCACCAAATGGCTCAGCACCGCTCACTATCACTACGAACCTCTCGGCAGTAGTCGGAACCGACCAGAGCCACTCATAATTGCTCGCCACCGCTCGTCACCACTCATGGGTGCTGAGCATCACGATGCGCTTATTGGTATCACATGTTTATATAACCATATGCTTGTAATTATTTCTGTTATTACAAGCCAGCACATATTTATTTTGTACAAAATTTATGCATGTTTGCTCATGTAGAAAGCATTTCCTTGCAGTCTCTTTGTGGCTGTAAGTCAAAACGCGATTGTTTGGATAGCTGCCAAGCCTCAAAGTGGGGTGCACTGTCAATTTTCAATGTAGGCACGTCCGTTTTTGTTCTGATTGGTTAGATTTGGCCTGCTTCATTTTACACCTTGACTAAAACCAACCACGACTCTAATGATCGAGCCGGGTGGTTTGCAGCTGCGCTTCCAGGCTGCTTGATTTTTTTTTTCTTTTTTTTTTTCGGGCATGTTGGTTCCATCTGTACCCCCCCCACATAGCAGGGTAATTTGTCCATGATGGGCTCCAATTTATGATTCTGATTGACGTATTATTTGTGCTTCCCATTTATTTGCCCCTGCCCCACATGTTACACAGCGTTTTGTGGGAGGGGTGGGGTTGAAGTGTATGCTTTAGAATTTCGTTTTCATTTTCCTGCCCACCCATCCACCTCGCTCGTGCCTCAGCCCAAACAGCTCAAGTCAATTCAGTCGAACCTCCTCCTTCCATCCTACCCACCTTGCAGCTAGACTTAATCACTAATCCGCTTGTATTCCATTCGACTTAGTGAGATCCGCGAGTCGTTTGTCTGTTCGCGCGCCCCGCGCGCCTCGCGACCGTTAGATAGTCATGCGCGCCTCCAGCGTTTTCGTTTCGCCGCCCCGCGCTTTCATTTGTAGTTCACGGATATTGCCATTAATATCGTTTCGTCTGCATTTCGGAGGGCGGCGCGACGTGTATCGGACGTGACCGTCGATCTGTCGCGTCGCGAAATTTCGAAGTAGTTATCGAACAAACTCCGTTGCGCCGTTGCTGCGCAGTGAAGAGCGCCCGAAGCGCCGATGCTGGCGCGATGAAGAGCGCCCACCGTTGCGCTGGTCGTGAAGCAGCGCGACTTGTAAGCGGGCCCCGAGCTGCTCTTCCCGCCGCCCACACCTTCCGCCAGTCAGTACCGCCTGAAACAAGGGACTTCCGCCCTGTAACAAGGGACTTCCGCCTGAGTCCTGCACGCACTTCTCGATCCTCGTCCCCCCTGGCTTTAGAATAATGTCTAGTTTGGCACTCGCTTCTTACTACGTGCCAGCTCACGCGCTTCTCACAAGCTACGAGTACCCTTCAATTTCTCGTACACGGACGGTCTTGATGCGATCACGGGCTGGCAGCGTAAAAGCAGAGCCTGCACTGTGACAAAAAACGCAGTGACTGCCGAAACCAGCTGCTATCGTAAGGAATAAGCGTGAGTCCGCTCGCCGAGGTTGGTCTTCTGCTCGGCGTGGATCCTGGCGGTGCTTCTTCTTCGGGCGAAACCTTTCTTTGACTCACGGTTCCCTCCATTCCTCCTTTCTCTCGACCTCTCCGCGCCTCTCGTATATTCCTCCTCCACACGCATTTCTCATCGCGCGGTACCTAGAGTGGCTTCGTTCTCGTGAGCACATCCCATCGGATGTGCGGTTCCACACCAGCCCGAAAAGCTCCTCGGGATCCGTGACGTTGTCCGTCGATTTTCGCCTCAGATCAACGACCGGATCGCGTCGTGCTAGCTGGCATCAGAGGAGATGGCGGATCGAGCGCCATGAGGCAACGCCGCCCCGCGCGTCCTGCTCGGCGAAGGTGGTACGTAGCGGCACTCCACGTTCGTGGGCGCGTGAAGCGCCGTCCCGTGCTGTGCATAACGTGATTTGTTTCCGCTAACAAATCACGCTCTCCCTGCCGGTCAGTGTGCATAGTAAGGCTTGCGTTTGTTTTTTTATTTGCGTCAATCATTCGATTGTTTTGTAACAATTCGAACGTTTTTTTTTGTTTCTTTGACAGGGACGCGGCGCGCATCAGAAGGCAGCGGCGCGCATGCATGTCACGGTGAGATGCGCATGCATGTCAGGCCGCTTCTCCCCGTGCGCAGGACGCAAGCGGGCAAGCGGGGAACCGGAGAGGGCGCGAGTGACGGTGTTGGAGCGCCCAGTGCTACGGGAGGTTCTTAGACGCGCCAGTCGCCTGGGCGAGCTCGTGCTCTTCACTGCCGGGCTGGAAGGTGCCATGGGATGTGAACGAGTGCAGTTGGGTTCGTTTCGGTTGCAGTTGAGCTGGGAACCGGAGAGGGCGTCCTCGTTCCCCCTTCGCCTCGTTCCGCCCCCCCTCGTTCCTCCCCCCTCGTTCCTCCCCCCTCGTTCCTTTCCCCTCGTTCCTTCCCGTCGTCCCTTCCCCCTCGTTCCTTCCCCCTCGTTCCTTCCCGTCGTTCCTTCCCCCTCGTTCCTTCCCCCTCGTTCCTTCCCTCTCCCCTCGTTCCTTCCCTCTCGTTCCGCTTTCCTCATTTCCCCTCGGTTTCCGCTGCTGCAGGCGGAAGAGCAAGGCGTTTCCGTGCTGCAGGCGGAAGAGCAAGGCGTTTCCGCGCTGCAGGCGGAAGAGCAAGGCGTTTCCGCGCTGCAGGCGGAAGAGCAAGGCGTTTCCGCGCTGCAAGCGGAAGATCAAGGAGTTTCCGCGCTGCAGGCGGAAGAGCAAGGCGTTTCCGCGCTCATCCCTTCCCCTCGTCCCTTTCTCTTGTCCGTTTCCTTCCCCCTCGTTCCACCTTCCTCATTCCGCCGCTTTCCCCACTCTATTCCCCCTTGCTGGTTTTGCCCGGTCTCAATCCCCGTTTTTCCGCCCCGCCAGTCCTCACCCCCCTCCAGCCGGTGCAAGCAATGCAACGCCGCCGCCGCCGCCGCCGCCGCCGCCGCACGCCTCGGCGCTAATGCGGGCGGCCATGGGGCGCTGCAGTGGCACCAAGGCACGGCCACTTGGTAAGAGAGCACACGTGCCTGCTTGCATTCGTTTTGCCCTTGCTCGTTCCGCCCTGCCCTTGCTCGTTCCGCCCTTCGTCGTTCCGCCCTGCCTCGTTCCGCCCTGCATCGTTCCGCCTTGCCTCGTTCCGCCTTGCCTCGTTCCGCCTTGCATCGTTCCGCCTTGCATCGTTCCGCCTTGCCTCTTCCGCCTTGCCTCGTTCCGCCTTGCATCGTTCCGCCTTGCCTCGTTCCGCCTTGCATCGTTCCGCCTTGCATCGTTCCGCCTGCATTGTTCCGCCTTGCATCGTTCCGCCTTGCATCGTTCCGCCTTGCATCGTTCCGCCTTGCATCGTTCCACCTTGCCTCATTCCGCCCTGCATCATTTCGCCATCCCCTATTCTCACCTCTCCTCCCCTCTGCTCAAGTCCTCTCCTCCCCTCTGTTCACCTCCTCTCCTCCCCTCTGTTCACCTCCTCTCCTCCCCTCTGTTCACCCCCTCTCCTCTCCTCTCCTCTCCTCTCCTCTCCTCTCCTCTCCTCTCCTCTCCTCTCCTCTGTTCACCTCCTCTCCTCCCCTAGCATCAACTCCTCTCCTCCCCTCTGTTCACCTCTCCTCCCCTCCGTTCACCTCCTCTCCTCCCCTCTGTTCACCTCCTCTCCTCCCCTCGCATCAACTCCTCTCCTCCCCTCCGTTCACCTCTTGTCCTCCCCTCTGTTTACCTTCATCAACTCCTCTCCTCCCCCTCTGTTCACCTCCTCTCCTCCCCTCTGTTCACCTCCTATCCTCCCCTTTGCTCAACTCCTCTTCTCCCCTCTCTTCACCTCCTCTCCTCCCCTTTTCTCAACTCCTTTCCTCCCCTCTGTTCACCTCCTCTCCTCCCCTCTCATCATCCTCTCCCCTCTGTTCACCTCCGCTCCTCCCCTCTGTTCACCTCCTCTCCTCCCCTCTGTTCACCTCCTCTGTTAACCTCCTCTCCTCCCCTCTGTTCAACACCCTCTCTGTTAACCTCCTCTCCTCCCCTCTGTTCAACACCCCCTCTGTTCACCTCCTCTCCTCCCATCTGCTCAACCTCTCCTCCCCTCTGTTCACCTCCTCTCCTCCCCACCACTCGCCACCTCTGCCACAATTTCAGAACCTGCCACACACCATCCCCTCACACCTACTGTTCTCTCTTGTTGCGTGTATGACTATTTCTGCTTTTCGTTCCTCTTCTTCTCTCTTGCACCGTGTATTCACTGTAGAGTGTTTCACCATCTCGGCAGCCCCTCACTCCCACTTGCCCTCACGCACACTTGCCATCCGTGCCGTGCTTCATTCCACCCCACCTCACCCCACCCCACCCCACCTCATCCCTCCCCACCGTGGGCAGGTGGCATTATCTCCTGTGGGGCGCCATTCTGAAGACATTGTGAAAAAAGTAGGATAGTAAATCCGGTCCCTAGTTGCGATGAATGGATTTCGAATGTAGGCAAGGCACTCCCTCGTGCTTGTTTTGTAAATACTGCTATATGAGGCGGTGTGGCCGTGTGCTGGCCATGCCTGGGGAGGAAGGGTGGGGGCGGCTTGGGCAAGGCCCGGGGATGGATGGATGGAAGGGGAGGCCTGTGGGTTTGAGCACAGGCCAGTGCAAGCCTGTAGGGTCGGGGTCTGGTTGGTTCGGAGATGAACAGTAACAGGAAGTGCAAGGGAGGAGAAAGAGAAAGAGGAGCATAGAGACAGGGACCATCAAGAAGAGAAGCAGGGACGGAAGACAAGCAGAGATGCAACAAGCAGGAGCAACAGAAACAGAAACCGGATTCTTGCGTGCAAGAGGCGGCCCGGCCCGAGGGGGCTCTGTGAGGGGTCTGTGAAGTGAGGTGCTGTGTGAGGGGGGCTATGCTGTGTGAGGGGGGCTATGCTGTGTGAGGGGGGCTATGCTGTGTGGGGGGGGCTATGCTGTGTGAGGGGGGCTATGCTGTGTGGGGGGGGCTATGCTGTGTGAGGGGGGCTATGCTGTGTGAGGGGGGCTATGCTGTGTGGGGGGGGCTATGCTGTGTGAGGGGGGCTATGCTGTGTGGGGGGGGCTATGCTGTGTGAGGGGGGCTATGCTGTGTGAGGGGGGCTATGCTGTGTGGGGGGCTGTGTAGGGGGCTGTGAGGAGGATTGGGGGGTAGGGGGGCCTTAGGGGGGCCTTGGGGGGGGCCGTGGGGGGGTTTCCACTCGCTTCTCGTTATTGTCACTCCTCTTCATTGCCCGTTTCCTGCTTTATAGTACCACTGTCCTCTGTTTTGTTTGTTATTATCCTCTTGCACCGTTTCTTTCTTGCATCACAATAAGGAAAAGCACACTAAACCTTGTATCGCCTGCAGCAGCAGGAAGAGTCCGGGAAAGACATGCTGCTGCAGGTCATGCCGCAACATCTGAAGCAATAGTAGCAGCAGCATCATAAGAAGACGAGGCACCAGTGAAAGTCATGAGGTGAAGCGATGGGGCCAAGTCAAGCCAATGGGCATTGGGACTGAGAAGCGGCATTGGGCAACCAATGTCATGGACATCATGCCTCATGCCTCATGCTTCATCCCTCATCCCTCATGCCTCATCCCTCATGCCTCATCCCTCATGCCTCATCCCTCATGTCTCATGCCTCATGTCTCATGCCTCATGCCTCATGCCTCATGCCTCATGCCTCATGTCTCATGCCTCATAGCTCATGGACCATGATGCCCAACCATGCAAATGCGTTTGAACACTGTGAGACGGCAACTGGGAAATGGGCAGGCAGATGGTGTTAGGCTTGGCGACGGTGTGTGTCCGAATCATGTACAGGGCAATGCTATGCTAAGTCATACCCTTACTCAAATGTCAGGGTGACATTAAGAAAGGCACAGGGTGAAAGATATAAGCAGTAGTGACCCACACATCATGGTTCATGGCTGAACACATTGCCCACTGACTCACGAGTCATTTCACATGCATCGTGGTGCGCTGTACGGTAACGATCTGCCATGATGCACTAGGGGGGGTTGTGGTGGTACCCTTCCTACAAAAAAGGGGCGCGGGGCGTGGGGCGTAGGGTGTGGGGAGTGAGGAGTGGGGTCGGCGTGAGTGGCCAGGTTTGGTTGACGCCAGAGAGGGTGGCAGAGGTGGTGAGGCAGGCGAGAAGGGAGAGGTGCACGAAGCCACCGAGAGAGGCCGGAGCGAGTGGCGAGCGAGCGATGTCTGACTGTCTGCACTATGGATACCAGATGAATGCTTAGAAGGATTGAGGATAGCGTGGGAGTAATGAGAGCAGCAGTAGGGGCCAGGTGGAGAGCGAGTGAGATTGGTGAAGAGACGATGGCCTGCCACTGACCTGCCACGGACCTGCTACTGATTTGCCACTGACCCACTACTTCTGAGTATCAAGCATCAAGTAGCACAACCCACTACTTGTGAGTATCAAGCATCAAGTAGCACAACCTACTACTTGTGAGTATCAAGCATCAAGTAGCACAGCCCACTACTTCTGAGTATCAAGCATCAAGTAGCACAACCCACTACTTGTGAGTATCAAGCATCAAGTAGCACAACCCACTACTTCTGAGTATCAAGCATCAAGTAGCACAACCCATTATTCTGAGTATCAAGCATCAAGTAGCACAACCCACTACTTCTAAGTATCAAGCATCAAGTAGCACAACCCACTACTTCTGAGTATCAAGCATCACTGCCCTTCTCCCTTCGCTCCTCCACTACTCGCCTTTTGAGAAGAACACCACGAGGGGCCACCCAGCAGCCTCGCCCAGCTTCGCCTGCAGCCTCTCACACACCTCCGCCACGTCAGCAACCCACAGGTTGCCCCCATTCGCTGCAGCATTTCCCATGAACAGTGCGCCCATGCCATAAAGAGAAGGTGGGTGCGCTTAGGGGTGCAAATGGGTGTGGGAAAGAAAGCAGGAGCGAAGCAGAGCTGGAGAGGTCAGGGATGAGGGGAGGGGAGGGAAGAAGGAGTTTGGGAAGGGTGGGAACGGGGTAGTTGGCCAGGGTGGGAGGGAAGCGAGAGTTGCAGAGTGTTCTGGATGATCCTAAAAGAAACCCTTGGAGCTCAAAAGCATCCTCAATAACCTGCAATTCCAATTCCAAGGATGCTACCGACACGCACCCTCCTTTCCTTTCACCAACCCTCCTTCGTTGCACTCCCCTTCCCCTTTTTCACCGCCTGGAGTGACTCTCACACTCACCCCCACCCCACAGCGACCCCTCACCAACTCTCACACACATACCCACCCCTCACCGACCCTCACACACCAACGTTTACCGAACCTCACCGTGGTGATATACAGCCTGTTTGTCAACAGCCCCCTTCCCATCGTAGTAACGCCTGACGCGCTCTTACATGCCTCCGCAAGCCCCATCAGCAGCCCCCCCTTCACCAGTCCCTCGCCCTCACACCGCCCTCTCCCTGTCACCGCCCCCTAATGCCGCCGACGCTGCTTGCGCTGCTCGGAAGTTTCCCCCATTGCAAGAAACATGCCTGCTATATTGGTGCGACTTTTGAGAATTCTCAAAAGTCGCACCAATTCTGCTGAAGCTGCTTCTGTCTGACTGTTTGCTGCTGTTGCTTCTGCTCGGGCTGTTTGGCTGTTGCTTCTGTTCGGACCGTCACTGCTTGCCACTTGTTCGGACCGTCACTGCTTGCCACTTGTTCGGACCGTCACTGCTTGCCACTTGTTCGGACCGTCACTGCTTGCTACTGCTGCTGCCGTCACTGCTTGCTACTGCTGCTGCCGTCACTGCTTGCCACTGCTGCTGCCGTCACTGCTTGCCACTGCTGCTGCCGTCACTGCTTGCCACTGCTGCTGCCGTCACTGCTTGCCACTGCTGCTGCCGTCACTGCTTGCCACTGCTGCTGCCGTCACTGCTTGCCACTGCTGCTGCCGTCACTGCTTGCCACTGCTGCTGCCGTCACTGCTTGCCACTGCTGCTGCCGTCACTGCTTGCCACTGCTGCTGCCGTCACTGCTTGCCACTGCTGCTGCCGTCACTGCTTGCCACTGCTGCTGCC